AAGAAAATATATAGCGCGAAAGTTAATATTAAAAGGTGTCGAGATAGACCAAGACTAACTTTCGAAGAACATGTGAGCAAATTGCTCGAAGAGGGTAGGGTCAAGAGTACTCGGATACCTAGACGTACATGTATGAAGAAGATAATGAATCAGAAAGAAGCGAAAGAGGTATGTAAGGATCGTGACACTTGGCGATCTGTTCTCTCTGGCTACCCCGTCAGGGATTGTGCGTGAAGATAAGTAAGTAAGTAACCATTCTGTAAAAAACTAGCCAAGTCTCGATGGAGCTGCTTGTTTATCTCTAAAAAGTAATGAAATCTAGACAAAGTCGTGTCGTTTATTATTATAGTTAATGTTTTTTTTTTTATAGGATCGGGTGACAAACGAGCACACAGTCCACCTGTTACTGTGACCCATAGACATCTACATCTATCCTCAATAAAGACTCAAGATGCAGATGCGTTGTCACCCGTGAGGACTAAAATGGAATGCCTCTTTGCCAGTAAAAAGGGTCTCCGGTTCTCTACACTCACCATACGAAACACAGCAGCGTTAAGCTGCTATTTTACGCTGGTTTTCTATGAGAGCATGGTCCTTCCCCGGTCGAGCCGACCCATTCGTGCTACAACCATAATATAGCTGCAGCATGGCTCTACCACGTAGGACTGTGTGTGACTTGGCCGTTGAAGGGTACACAAGGGTACAAAACCAGGTGCTACATGACACCATTGCACCAATCTGTCGCCAGAACCGCTACCCATTGACGATGGAAAATTGCCACTTGGAAAACGTTGATTGAATAACCAGTCAATTGTAGGTTTGATAAAGTTGCGTTTACACGTAATGTTGCACGTAATTCTGTTTCGACGTAATGTTATATCTGTTGTAACTACCTATGTTTGTTAAGCGAGATAATAGCCCATACTGGTATTTGTGTTAATGGGAGACTTCAATGCAAAACTAGGCACAAGAGAGAATTTTGAGTGAGATTGAGAGGTTCTATGGGCAGCTGTACACGTCATCGTTAGAGCCACACGCAATTGTGAGGATGAAAGGTGACAACGCTTTCTTGATGAACTACAGACCGATTTCCCTTCTGAGCCGCGTCTACGTGCTGTTTTCGAGAGTCATTACGAATCGTCTCGCGCGCAGTTTTGACGACTTCCAGCCTCCCGAACAAGCCGGTTTCCGAAAGGACTTTAGCACCATAGACCACATACATACCCTTCGGCAAGTTGTACAGAAGTCCGAGGAGTACAATTTGCCACTATGCCTGGCGTATGTTCACTATGGGAAAGCCTTTGATTCCGTCGAAATTTGGGCGGTGCTGCAATCCCTTCAGCGGTGCCAAGTTGACTGTCGGTATATCGAAGTGCTGAAGTGCTTGTACAGTAGGGCCTCGATGGCTATCCGAGTACAGAACCAGAGTACGAAACCTATCCAATTGCAGAGAGGTGTAAGACAGGGTGACGTTATATCCCCGAAACTCTTCACCGCTGCATTGGAAGACGTTTTCAAGCTTCTGGACTGGAAAGGATACGGTATTAACATCAATGGCGAGTACATCACTCACTATCGATTTGCCGACGATATAGTTCTTTTGGCAGAATCGCTGGAGGATCTAAGCACCATGCTCAATGACCTCAATAGTGTCTCCCAACGGATAGGTCTTAAGTTGAACATGGACAAAACAAAGATCATGTTCAATGTCCATGTCACACCTATGCCGGTAGTTGTTGGGAGCACTAAGCTCGAAGTTGTTGACGAGTATGTTTACCTGGGACAAATAGTCCGACTAGGTAAGTCCAACTTCGACCGAAAGGTCAATCGACGGATTCAACTCGGCTGGGCAGCGTTCGGGAAACTACTACACATCTTCTCGTCAGACATTCCTCAAAGCCTTAAAACAAAATTATACAACCAATGCGTGTTGCCAGTGATGACTTACGGATCTGAGACGTGGTCGTTCACTGCTGACCGTATGAGGAAGCTCAAGGTCGCTCAGCGGGCTATGGAGAGGGCTATGCTCGGAGTTTCTCTGCGTGATAAGAAATGAGGATATCCGCAGTAGAACCAGAGTGACCGACATAGCCCAACGGATTAGTAAGCTGAAGTGGCAGTGGGCCGGCCATATAGCTCGAAGAACCGACAACCGATGGGGAAGAAAGGTTCTTGAGTGGCAGCCTCGTACCGGTAGGCGAAGTGTAGGGCGACCCCCCACGAGATGGAGTGACGACCTGGTAAGACATGCAGGAAGTCGATGGATGCAGGTGGTTCAGGACCGTGCTTTGTGGCATTCCTTGGGCCTATGTTCAGCAGTGGACTTATGAAAGGCTGTAATGATGATGATGATGATGAGAGATAGGATAGTTTTTATCCCGATAAATGACCCTCAAAATTTTTTATTGCGAACTGAAGGATTTTTTTATAGGATGGAGCGTCGGAAAGAGTAGAATTGGCTAGTCAGTATAAGTATAGATTGTAAGTTATCCTTAGAAGATAGACTTACTGTTGGAGACCTTTTTAGAACCTTTTAAGAGGAACAATTCAGCTATACATTATTTTTCTCAAACTTTAACCATTGATGAACCACACTGTGGAAACTCTCAAGAGGCACGACTTTTGCGCCTTTGTTGACAAATATTAAAAATTTTAGTGATAATATAAATATACACATAATATATAGCCTATGTCCATCAGGAATAATGTACCTTTCAAATGGTGACAAAAATATTCCAATAGGTGAAGTGGTTCCAAAAATTACCTTCCACATATATACAAACTCACAAAATTTACACTCTCTCTTTATAATATTAGTATAGATTTGTCATGTTTAGGCCATCTAGTGTTGAGAGTAAATCTAATTTTTTTTCTATAAAATGATTTTACCTATAGAATGAAGACATTGCTATTAAAAGCAATTTTAGTTTTAATACACTAAAATATTTAGACTCTACATGTCTAAAAATAAGGATTGTATCATTTATTTGCTACAAAATTGAACTTTTATCTTATATTTTTCATCGAACTTGTGGTTGAAAATTATCAAATGAAATAAATCATTTCCGGAGAAATGTTTTTGTTTTGTATTTCATTTCAATTGAAGGTTTTACTTCTACAGCATGTGAACTGCACACATATTTTATTTATTTATTGGTAGGAATCTTTGAAATCAGTGCCAAGGCATAGTGTATTGAAGAATTCCAACCCTTTTAATACTAGTCTGGAGTAAAACTTCTTGCAAAACCTTATGGAAAGGTCAAAACAATGTTTGCCAGACCAGCCAGTATTTAATAAAATTAAACAAAGTATTAAATTACTTACATATTCTGAATCAATTGAGATCTTTTTAGGCAAAGATTTATTTTGCGATTGATTATATATAAGTATTTTTGTGAACTTTGGATAATATTTTTATTTTCATCCAAATAGATGATACAAAATATACATTGGTTTCTAGATTCTGTTGCCCGAAATTCAGTAGTTTACAAAAAAACGAGATGATAGGTGTCTCACACATATGTTTTGGGACATTCCAGATCTCGTAAGCCTAAATGTCTCTGTGTATAGTTTTAACCTATGAAATTTAGAACATAAATCTGTACTGGAACTTGCAAAGCTGAGTGTATTTCTAATAGCCATAATTATCAATGATCATGTTCATTCAGGTTATTCACCACAAAAAAATATAAAATAGGACATCTAGATATCTTACCAATGACCTCTTACACTCAAAAAAGCTCTGTCGCAATTGAAGGCATTCTTCAGGGACTAAACCATCTTTCAAACATTCCCTTGGAGTCTTTTTTTCCTAAAATTTATAATATGTTAATGACTTCCTTAGATTTAAAAACAATCCACAAAACAAAACTGATAATAAGATAGATATATTTTATTGCAATCTTTCTTATAATTCAAATAACATTTTATTTAAAATAAGTTATTAGTTGTCTGTAGTAATTTTTAATTGGACGTTGCATATATTATAAATATATGTCTAGTGTAAGAAACGCTAACCTTTTTACAGCAACTGCTGCCCAAAAGACACATCTTAAGATCAGCTCTAATACCAGCACACGGTGACTTATCTACTAACTCTACTTCATCAGGACCAAAGGTTACCATACTTATATGATGGGTATAAGCTAAACGATAAAAATTACAAATACAGGACAGTTGTTTTACTGACTGAATTCCTTCCAATTCCTTCTGAAAAAAATTAACAGATTGTTGATAAACTTCACGTTGACAGTTGACACTTGCTTGACTTTCAAGTCTTGACTATGGTACTTTTAATTATTAAAAGACGAAGGTAATGTATATGATGTATATACGTTCATAAAGCCTTGTCTGACGTGTATTTTTTGTCTGTAAGGTAATGATTGTGTCACACATAGGTCGTGTTCCGTTATACACTGCGAGTACTGCTCAGTGCTCTCACTGGTGAAAAATTCGTTCCGTTGTGCAATGCCTAGGGAAATATAATCATAAATCGCCGTCATTTTTTATTGTGAGCACTGGCGCTTTTGAGTTAAGGTGCTCCGAGTATTTTGATCAGGTGGAAAAAAAACAGCTACCATGAATGATTGTTATTATTATTAATTAATATTGTTATAAAAACAAATTTCGCAGAGTGTGGAGGTACAAACACAACAAATTATGAAAAACTTTGTGAAAAAAGTACATGTCAGACAATGCAAGCATAGGCTCTATGGGTTATGTATGTAGCTTAAATAATATAAAATTATAAAACACGAGATTGACGTTGATGCTTGATGTCAAGTTGACGTTTTGAAATTGATTTTGTGTTTTTGTACATACTCCCTCTACGTGTTTTTGTATTTTTTTTTTATTAACATGTGAACATGTGATTGTGATATTGAGATAGCTATATCTCTCATTGTCAGTTGCGCTAATATTTATTTATTTTTAATAAATTATTGTAAAATATTAGTGCAGTATTTTACCACTTTATTCAATTGACCGATAAAATTTCAAAAATGATAAACGTGTTCCCTATTTTCATGCGAAAACTTTCTCACGTCTGCAGTTTAAAACCTTATAAGGAAACAAAATGGTTAATGCCAAATGGAAATCCAATCGGAGTGTATGTTTACAATTGTATTGCGAACCAAAAAGTTCCAGTCATTCTGAATGATCCTAAAATCGCCACATGGTATTCCTGCGGCCCCACAGTATATGATTCGGCTCATATAGGACATGCGTGTTGTTATGTTAAACTAGATATTTTACAAAGAATTTTAAAATCATTTTTTAATATTAAGCTCGTCACAGCAATGGGAATCACCGACATCGATGATAAAATAATAAAAAAGGCCAAAGACACTAATACTGATTTTAGAGTGGTTGCTAAAAACTATGAACATGAATTCTGGCTTGACTTAACAAGTTTAAATGTGGAGAAACCTATGATAATTACTAGAGTATCAGATCATATTCATACAATACAAGATTTTGTTAAAAACCTTGTGGATTCTAATATGGCTTATATCACAAATGATGGTTCTGTATATTTTGATACTTCTAAATTTCCTTCATATGGGAAATTGCAAAATATGCAAGATAGTGGGGAACCTACAACTACTGAGAAGAGAAATAAAATGGACTTTGCTCTTTGGAAGGGATATAAACCAGGGGAACCATTTTGGGAAACATCTTGGGGTAAAGGCAGACCAGGTTGGCATATAGAATGCTCTGCCATGGTCAGTAAGGTTTTTGGCTCTCAAATAGACTTTCATGCTGGGGGTATTGACCTTCAGTTTCCTCACCATGAAAATGAGGAAGCTCAATCATGTGCCTACCATGACACAAGGCAATGGGCAAACTATTGGATTCATGTCGGGCATTTAAACTATAAAGATATTAAAATGTCAAAATCTTTACAGAATACACTATCAATACCTGATCTTCTTAAGATGTATACTGCAGATACATTCAGAATGGCATGCCTTATGTCTAACTATAGATATTCAATGGAATATAGTGATGAGATGATGAAAACAGCTGAAGCCGTTCTTAATAAATTTAAATTTTTCCTTAAAGACGTTTTAATGTATGTAAATGATAGTGAAAATGGTCATGGTGATTACAGTAACAAACTTTTGGAGGAATTGCAAAAAGTTGAGGAGAACAACTTAGAAGCATTGAAATCAGATTTTGATACCGCATCATGTGTAAATTCATTACTTAATCTAGTAACTTGTGCTAACAAAATTATAAAAGGGAACACAAAGGACTACTATCCTGTTCCAGTTGTACTTACTGCTCAGTATATTATTAATGTCCTTACAAAATTTGGATTGACACTTCAAGAAACATCAGAAAATACTATATCAAACACTTTGATAGACACTATTGTTGAATTTAGACATATGGTTAGAAAAAATGCTATGTTGCGGAAAGATAAAGAATTATTAAGTGCTTGTGACACAGTTAGAGATAAAATGAAAATGATGAAGGTTCAGATTAATGATAGCAATAAGACACCAACTTGGGTAATGACTAAGTAGACAGCATTTTTTAGAATAATGTCATAATAACATAATAGTAGTAACAGGACGATTAAAAACTCAGCTCCATGGCACAGTAGAAGTTGCACCACTTATTTTTGTAGGTTAAGGTTGTCAAGCAAGCACACAATCCACTTGATGGTAAGTGGTTGCTGTGGCCCATAGACATATGTATCCTCATTTGCGAATCAAAATGCAGATGCATTGTCAGCCATGAGGACTAAGATGGAATGCCTCTTTTCCAGTAAAAAGGGTCTCTGGTTTTCTACATTCACCATACAAAACAGCAGTGTTAAGCTGCTATTTTACGCTGGTATTCTGTGAGAGCTTGGCCCTTCCCAGGTCAAGCCGACCTATTCGTGCTACAACTATACAATTAATATAGCTGCAGCATGCTCTACCACGTTTAAAGGGCCATGGGTTCAAATCCAACACAGACCAAGTATTTGTATGACCTACAAATAATTGTTCCGGGTCTGGATTTTTGTCCTTGTGAAATTTATGTATGGAAACTGCCTCCATGATACAAGAGATAATACTAATGTGGGGCTTAACATGCTAAACTACACAGATACATCTTCATTCTCAGTAACAAACAGTTAGTGGCTTTAATACTGCCCTTGTTGACTGTCTTAACCGATTCGTTAACCGAACAAATATTTCATGACACGCCGGGCGTGTCAAGCGCCACAGACCATGCCATCCGCCATGTGTAAAAGTAATGTACTTTTTATGCCTTTTTTACTTGTTTAGACCTAATTAAGTTTATTTGACAGCAAACATAAGTTACAAATGGAAGGATACTTGTTTTTAGCGGGTAACTACGTGTTTTTTTACGCGTTTTCTTTGAAAATGAGTGACTTTTTTTTATGAAGAGATTACAAACCTTTTGTACTATTTTTTGTTGTTATAATAACATCATTTATATAAGTAGGTACAGCAAAATCACCCTGGAAACCTTCGTTTTTATTAAATTAAATTTTCACCTAATAATAACATTTGTAAATATCAAACAATGAAGAACATTAATTTGAAAAAATATAGGTAAATCATTAATTGATATTTACAAATGTTAAATATTATTTAATGTTATACAAATGTAAAAGTAAAGTCGATCTGTAAACGTCTAATTAGTAAGAATAGCAAAACAAGTGTTTTCAAAAGGAAAAAAATGCCGGCGCTATACGGCGGCGGATTGACAAAAGACTATTTATTAGCAAACTTTTTTTATGCATGAACGGTTTCGAACTGTTTCAAGCAAAAATAAACCTTATACCATATCACAAGAGCACATGGTACTTCGTAGGTCTATTCGGCCATATGATAGTAATAAGACGGCAGTTCAACCATTTTAAGCAAAATTAAACAATAAGACAAACTCATTGTTTTTTTTTTAACAGGAGACTTGTTTTCCAGAAATTTATTTACAACTTGAGTTTGTGAGCGATCGCAATGAGTGCTATTATTTGTTACTTATTAGACAATTTTTCCATAACATGATTTATAACCCACAAAGTAAAAATAGTACCATGTACACGTTAAAAAATGGTTGTCAACCCCTAAAAATTTCAAATTTTCAAAATATCTAGAAACGAAGCTGCATGCATGAACTACTCGCAAAATAATGAATATTTCGTTCTGGATAAATTTTCCAAAAAAGTAATTTGAGCGAGTTATAACGATTTTTAAAAAGACACGACTCGCCATACGCCACACACAAAAGTAATCGATGGCACGCCTGGCGTATCACCCGCCACTGAACCGGTTAATAATTTACATTTGGCATATATGACACATGCTCGGCGGTAAAGGAAAAAATCGTGAAGAAACCTGCGTGTCTGAGAAATAAGAAAAAAAAAATTTTTTCAAAGACATGTGAACTTCACCAACACATTCTGGGGCAGTGCGATGGACACTTCCTTGCCCTAAAACCCTCTCAGATATGAGAGGAGACCTGTGACCAGCAAGCAGTGGGACATATATAGGCTGCAACTTTAACTAACTTAACTTTATATATGAGATGGAATAAGATTTGTAGTAACTAAGGGATACCTTAAATTTTATCATACATCTGTAAAAAAACAAGCATGCTAAAGAAATTATAAAAATTATGATGACATGTGACATGCAATGGAGCTGTGTTAGACAACTTTGCTCAAAAATATTAGTAAGAAAGGCAGACTTGTGCCAAGCAATACCTCTGTTGGATATACATTACTTTTTTATAAATGCAATGGTTGTACCTCCCATCTTATTGAGGCCATGAGACATTATTGCCATAATCCGCAGTCGCATATTATAATAGCTATGAGACAAAATTGTAGAATGCATTACCTTATATCACCACCAGACAGCTAAAGTTACAGAAATAAACAAAAAGAAAATACAAACACAAGCACCATTACTTGTGTAGATTGTAATTATATAGTAATTATATTGTAAAGGATTAAAGATGCAATCAAGGCTACTAAAAGTGTAAGGAAAAGTTGTTATAATATATTCTTATGATGTTTTCTTTTATAATTTAATAGGCAATCACCAGGTAAAATTGTAATTTATAATTGCAGTAATGCTGGCAGCCACTGTGAATCAAAATTGAACTTGGGCTTTTGTGTAACCACAGCTCTCATTTTTACAATATGATAATATAAGAGTGACAAAAGGCAAAAGCACCGCAGCTCATGGACACCTCTGTTAATGTGGCATTCCATCTGAGTCTATAGGTGACAATGCATCTTCATTTTGATTCTTAATCGAGAATAGTTGTATGTAGTGTCAATCGGCCACAACATCCACTTACCTTATTTACAATGTATCATTGTTTTACAAAAACTGTACCTACACACAAACCAATTGCAATAGATCGTGGCCTTGTTGCAGAAATATTCGGCTCTAGTCTAAGATACACCTCGCAAGACTCATAGGGTAAATGGTAACAATTGTAAATAGCCGTTCTTTGAATAAAACTAATCAAAGTAATTTTCTTTAGAGACAAAAGAAACGAAAGTATGCATCTATTAAACATTTTTTTATTTATATTTTTTGTTACACTTGTTTTTGGTGACTAGATTACAATGGAGTAAGTTTTTAAATGAATACAATGCTAAAAGTCAGTAAGCCATCAAATAATGATGGAATCATTTTTCCAACCAACCAAAACAATGTAAATACAATCTGTTATCTGTGGTATGTATATAAATAAATAAACTTTTTATTGGCAAGTGTTTAATTTTCCATTTTTGACAATTATATCAGATACACAATGTAATGGTTTTTATCATGCACTTAAGGTTAAAATTATTATGTCGCTCTCAAAAAAAAATAACACTTATACAAGAGTACGAGTAGTTCGTAGTTCAACACAAAAATAATGGCTTAGTTCACCTCAGTCTTATAAACTTCCAATGCTTATACACAATGCAAATTTTCCCGAAGTTTGTTCGAAACACATTTTTATAATCATAATGAGCGCAACTTTCTAACATTAAGTACAATTGACACAATTATAATTTAAAACAGATCGATGTTAAAATACATTTCACTGAACGACGTAATGGAATTACGGAATGTATAATAATATAAAATCCATTTGTTAAAGAATTTAATGGAGTACTAATAACAATTTTCATTTACCAGACGTCACTATAAGGGACTGAGGAAAAGTTTTTTGTTACACAATGTCACGTGATTCAGAAGTTTGGTTTTAAATAAAATTTTATCAGTTTCTAGAGTATTTGATAAATACACAAAACAATGCCTCAGTGGTTTGTTCCTTAATGTTTTTCACATTTTTTAATCTTTCTTTTTTAACTGTTCTACTTTTAGGAATATCTATATGTAACAGGTGGAAGGAATTTAATATTAAAAAAAATTGTACTGTAGTATATAGTATGAAGTATTCATACATTTAAAAAAATCAAACAATGCAATGCAAAATAATTTCGTTGCGAAATTCAGTGAAATGCATTTAAAAAAAAATTGTGCGCGCAACGTCTAACCAGTTTCAAAATGGCGGATATCACTAATTAGTGGCTAGTTGAACAGATCCGTTTTTATCCTGTATCATGTTTTCTGCTTTATAAACTTTCCAAGCAACAATATAATCCCTCACCAACTTGAACAGTGAGTAGTAATTGATGAAAAGTAAAATGACTATTGACAAGAAGTTGTGCCAGGCTATGGAGCTGAACAGTAAACACAGTTGTACAACAACTAGTGACAGTTGGAGGGTCAGAAATACACAAATTAGCGTCGGCGGGTATATGAACACGGTCTGAAAGTAATATTAAGTAAACATTAGACAATGTTATAATTTAATTGAATTTAACTTTAAAGACCACTGCTGGCTGTACAGTTAAAAATGTTAAAATTACAGCCTATATACACACGTCCCAATTGCTGGGCACAGGCCTCCCCCATAGATTAGGGGATAGTTGCCACGCTTGGCAAGCTGGTTGGCAAAGGCAGTTTTTTTTAATCGTTATTAGAAAGACCCCGCTGCTCATCCCATGATTTGTTTCCCTCTGTCGCCTCTTACTACACCCACGGAACGATATGGGACAGTCCAAAATCAGTTAAAGGGTTCTGCTGTCAAGAAATTCTTAGTAGCCACCCGGAGTCAGGAAGATGTTATACCCCCGTGCCTCGTAAAAGAGAATGTAAAGCTAGTCCTGCGAATGATTCATCCCCGGTCGTGTCGGATTGCCGTCCTATCGGACTATCAGTGGAGAAATTTATACGTGGTAGAGCAATGCTGCAGCTATATTAGTAGTATCGTTGTAGCACGAATGGGTCGGCTCGACCGGGGAAGGATCTCACAATACCAGCGTAAAATAGCAGCTTAACACTGCTGTTTCGTATGGTGGGTGTAGAGAACCGGAAACCCTTTTTATTGGAAACGAGGCATTCTATCTTAGTCCTCACGAGTGACAACGCATCTGCATTTTGATTAGCAAACGAGGATAGATGTAGTGTCTATGGGTCACAGCAACCACTTACCATCAGGTGGACTGTGTACTCGTTTGTCATTCGATTCTATTAAAAAAAAGGAATAAAGAGTGTACCCGTGCTTGCGCACACACTTGTGATCTTTTCCTGCGAAAATGGCTCGTCTCCATTGAGACTGGCCGCCGTGACCTAATGTCTGTCATGACATTATCCGCAGTAGAGCCTAAGTAACCAACAAAGTCCACTGGATATACTGAAATAGTAATACGACATACTACAACTGATGTGGATGAAAAGATGAGTGGCAGATGGCAGAGGCTTTCCGCGGGTGTTGTAAGAGGTGACTACGGTAAATGCTATGAAATGTTCTGGCTTCCGATAGATGGCAGTATAACCAAACAAATATAAATAAAATACCCAGCAGGTTAAGTCAAGTCTACTTTACTATACAGATAACTATAATAATAATATCAAAGTTAAGTCACGTAATTACTCGATCACAGTATTCTATTACCGTTAACAATTGTAGAAATCAACTTGGTTTACCCCACAGACTGGACACGGGCATCAGTATTCGAAAGCCAAATAGAACTACCAACCGAACCGGGGTAGTACCACGACCTCACAGAAAACCAGCGTGAAGTAGAGGTTTACCTCTGCGTTTCGCTTGGTGAGTGCAGGTGGCCGGAGGCCCTTTTTACTGGAAATGAGGCATTCCATCTTAGTCCTCACGGGTGACAACGCATCTGCATTATGATTTGTAACAGAGGATAGATGTAGATGTCTATGGGTCGCAGCAACCACTTACCATCAGGTGGACTGTGTGCTCGTTTGTCACCCTTATCCTATAAAAAAAAAAAAACTAGAATGCCTGAAATGTTTTGTAAAACACTAACATAGCTACTGCAACACGTTACTAAAAAAAAGACAAATGTAAAAATAATATCCCGTGTTCTTTTTGCTGATGATATTTCATTAATTCTTCCCTGTCCCAATTGCGCGCGACCGGTGTTTTGATTTGACGGTCTAAATTTTGAGTAAATTGTGGGCGCCTAATTTACTATCGAAGATGTGGGTCTCGTTAAGACCGCCTCGAATTGAGTTGTCTGTTTTGAACGTTTTAAGTGATAACGAGGCTTATCCTTGAGTTTTGAGTTATTAATTTAACTGACTGACCCGATCGGGTCCATAGTTTAGGGAAGCAGCTCGAGCAGGTCGATGCCCGAAGGGCCGTAGTGGAGGAGGCTTGCACAGAACTTTTGGCCTCGGAACAGGGAGTCTTAAAATCCTGCCTCGCGGACTACGAACAATTATTTTCGCTCACTGACGATTTGATCGAGGCGGGGGCCAAATATTCTAATGAAGCGCGTGAAGCACGGCTGAGTGGCCTGGCCGAGTCCCCTCGGAAGCAGCCTACTCAGCCGGAGCTGTTGGGACGACTCCCAATTCTGGACCTGCCAAGGTTCTCCGGGGTCCTCTCCGACTGGATGACTTTTGTTGGCCTTTTTGATAGTCTAGTGGACGCCCGGAGGGACTTGACACAAAGCCAGAAGATGGCGTACCTCCTAGCCTGACTGGAGGGGGAGGCCCTGGGCGTCGTCGGCCATTTGAGATTGTCGGACGACGCCTACCAGACTGCCCGGGACCTCCTCGCCGGAAGATACGCCAACGTCCGGCGAATTGCGAACGAATACGTTAGGCATCTTCTAAGCCTCCCGCTGCTTAGGGACCGGGCCAGACTACGTCCGGACATCGTGAATCCAGTCTTGGTGGCCTGTAATGCTTTGAGGCGGCTGGATTTACCGGTGGATAAATGGTCCTTCTTGTTGCTCCACATCGTGCTGTCCCGCCTGCCTCTCGACCTTCGGATACATTTTGAGGAGAGGTACGGCGGGGACGGCTCCTCCTATATTCCGCCCTTCAGTGATTTGCTGCGGTTCTTGGAGGAGCAGTGCCGGCAAATTGAGAACGCGGCGGGCACCGTCGACGACTTACGGGTTGCCAACCGAGCCGTGCCCAGGGAGAGGCAGAATCCGCCGGGCAAGTCGTCGCCAACCCCCCTAAGGCCGATCGGAGCTCCCGTGGGAGGGCGCCGCTCCTTACCACCTTACAGTGGCCTAGCGGCCAGGGAGGCGTCCCCCTGCCCCTATTGTCGAGCATCCGATCACAGGGTGACGTCGTGCCCGAAGTTATTGGGTAGGCCGGTTCCGGCGAGGCGAACTATCGCCAAGGAGCGCCGCTGGTGCTACTCGTGCTTGGAAAGGCACCTTCAACTAGACTACCCGCACCAGCGGCCCTGTCCGCACTGCCAGGGCAACCACCATGCCGTTTTGTGCCTGGGTGCGAACGGCGTCTCCTCTCGGGGCTCTGCCGGGCCCTCGACCCCCACGGGCGGGGGCACTCAGCCTCGCCCTCCGTCGGGCGACGCTCGGCGCTCGCCTGCTAGCCACCGTGCCCCTGGGTTTGAAAGGGGTCCTCCCCGACCCTTCGGGGGGTCGTTCCCCCAGGGGCGGGGCGGTCGTCGCGCCCCCTCAGCGTGTTGAGAGGAACTTCACGGCCATTCAGCGGTCAGCTAGGCCCTTCTCACCCCCGTTAGCTGAGTGGCCGCGGCTGGGGTACCACCGTCCCCCCCCCCCCCCTTTTGATCGGTACCGGTACTACGGGGTTCCTGCGACCTCGAATGTTTCGTAGTTGTAGTGGTTGTGAGTAAAAAAGTGAACTTAATATACTCTTTGAATACGTGTACATATGTTTTTGTAAATATATTTGATCATTATGTTTGCTTTATTGAATAGAAAATTGAAATTGAATAACACTATTTGTGCCGAAAGAAATAAAAATCAATCCTCTTTTTTTTCACAATTTGTTGGCGTTGTCGAAGTTATTTATTTTGGAAAAGAATATGGCTATCTTTTATGTTTATCGTTTTGCTTAATTTATCTGTTTTGATCTATGCGCATCGGGAAATAAATTTGTTACAGTTTGTTTTCAAGTTTTGCATAGTACTTTTGAGTATTGATGCTTTTGAAACTTGGTTGAAATATAAGCATAGAACTGCATGTTTAAAAGGCTAGCTAGTTAGGATATTATCAGATTGGAATCAGCTACTGCACAATTAAGTAAATGGTTATATGGTAGATGGCTTGATTATGTCTACTTGCGTGAACGAAAACATACTGGGGCCTATCTATGCGTTTTCGTGTGCCTCACCACTACGGCCGTTCACTTCTAACTTGTAAGTGCCCTCAGCACTGGAGCCTTTGTGGCCATGCTGGGCCGCTTCGTATCGCGTCGCGGTTTGCCGAACCTGGTCCAGTCTGATTGCGGAACGAATTGTGGGGGCACGGATAGATATTTGAAAGAGGTCGTCGGGTTTCTGTCCAGCAACAGGACTTGTTTGGGTGCTGCCATGTCCAGGGGGGTATCCAGTGGAGGTTCGACCCTCCGGCTTGCCACACACACACACACACACACACACACACACACACACACACACACACACAAACTTAGATTTTTTCAGAGAAATCGAAAAATTTATAAAAAAAAATGGTCTATGATAACTCTCCTAAATCTAAATAACGCCATATTAAAAAATCTTGCCCAGTCGAATCCGGTCGCTAGTAAATAAACAAAATAAATTTCAACTCACGTAAAAGCTGGTTTGGTGCCTGTCGGCCGGGCGGGCAGACACATAGTGAGCGTGCGCCACATACTCCACACCATCGAGGCAAACCCGCGCTCCGAAACCCCACCAGCGGGATCCAGACCACGTTACACTACCTTCCGCTGCTGCAATGAATTACATTTATAACCGTCAAAGCCTATTAAAGTCCACTGCTGAACATAGGCCTCCCCCATAGATAGCTTCATAGGAGGGATATTTGCTATAGTTGCCATGCTGGGTAAGCGAGTTAGCAACCGCAGGTTTTTTTTATTTTTAGTTAATATTAGGAATACGCTGCTCACTATATCTTGATTTGTTTCCCTGTTTCGCCTCTTACGACACCCACGGGACGATATGGGGTAGTGGCTATCGTTACACCGCTATTGGTAAAATTACATTTAATAGTCAGCGCCAAATTCAGCACAACGGAAAAGTTGTGGATTCACCTCGGTGACAGTTACACAGGTTTTTCTCTAAATGTTTCACAAAGATAATTAAAATTGACTAAGTTATAAAACTCTTGTCTTTTTATAGAATAAGGTTGACAAACGAGCATAGTCCATCTGATAGTAAGTAGATGCTCTAGCCCATATACATCTACATATAGCCTCGCTTAAATATCAAAATGCGGATGCGTCGCCACCACTGAGGACTAAGATGGAATGTCTCGTTTCCAGTAAAAAGGGTCTTCGGTTCTCTACACTGTCCATACGAAACGCAGCAGCATTGAGCTGCTATTTTACGCTGATAATCTATGAGTGCATTTGCGCTACAACCATAATATAATACAGCTTAGAGTATACATAAGCATAGATGACTTATATATACTCTATGTTGCGGTAAGTCGCAGTACAAGTACGTACCGGGCGGTGCGACACGTCGCAGTACAAGTACGTACCGGGCGGTGCGACACGTCGCAGTACAAGTACGTACCGGGCGGTGCGACACGTCGCAGTACAAGTACGTACCGGGCGTGCGACACGTCGCAGTACAAGTACGTACCGGGCGGTGCAGCACATCGCAGTACAAGTACGTACCGGGCGTGCGACACGTCGCAGTACAAGTACGTACCGGGCGGTGCAGCACGTCGCAGTACAAGTACGTACCGGGCGTGCGACACGTCGCAGTACAAGTACGTACCGGGCGGTGCAGCACGTCGCAGTACAAGTACGTACCGGGCGGTGCGACACGTCGCAGTACAAGTACGTACCGGGCGTGCGACACGTCGCAGTACAAGTACGTACCGGGCGGTGCGACACGTCGCAGTACAAGTACGTACCGGGCGGGGGCGGCGCCACGCGCCAGATGCCGAGGTGCAGCGCGGAGCGGTGCAGCACGTCGCAGTACAAGTACGTACCGGGCGTGCGACACGTCGCAGTACAAGTACGTACCGGGCGGTGCGACACGTCGCAGTACAAGTACGTACCGGGCGGGGGCGGCGCCACGCGCCAGATGCCGAGGTGCAGCGCGGAGCGGTGCAGCACGTCGCAGTACAAGTACGTACCGGGCGTGCGACACGTCGCAGTACAAGTACGTACCGGGCGGTGCGACACGTCGCAGTACAAGTACGTACCGGGCGTGCGACACGTCGCAGTACAAGTACGTACCGGGCGGTGCGACACGTCGCAGTACAAGTACGTACCGGGCGGGGGCGGCGCCACGCGCCAGATGCCGAGGTGCAGCGCGGAGCGGTGCAGCACGTCGCAGTACAAGTACGTACCGGGCGGTGCAGCACGTCGCAGTACAAGTACGTACCGGGCGGTGCGACACGTCGCAGTACAAGTACGTACCGGGCGGAGCGGTGCAGCACGTCGCAGTACAAGTACGTACCGGGCGTGCGACACGTCGCAGTACAAGTACGTACCGGGCGTGCGACACGTCGCAGTACAAGTACGTACCGGGCGGGGGCGGCGCCACGCGCCAGATGCCGAGGTGCAGCGCGGAGCGGTGCAGCACGTCGCAGTACAAGTACGTACCGGGCGGTGCAGCACGTCGCAGTACAAGTACGTACCGGGCGGTGCGACACGTCGCAGTACAAGTACGTACCGGGCGGGGGCGGCGCCACGCGCCAGATGCCGAGGTGCAGCGCGGAGCGGTGCAGCACGTCGCAGTACAAGTACGTACCGGGCGTGCGACACGTCGCAGTACAAGTACGTACCGGGCGGTGCGACACGTCGCAGTACAAGTACGTACCGGGCGGGGGCGGCGCCACGCGCCAGATGCCGAGGTGCAGCGCGGAGCGGTGCAGCACGTCGCAGTACAAGTACGTACCGGGCGGTGCAGCACGTCGCAGTACAAGTACGTACCGGGCGGTGCAGCACGTCGCAGTACAAGTACGTACCGGGCGGTGCGACACGTCGCAGTACAAGTACGTACCGGGCGGAGCGGTGCAGCACGTCGCAGTACAAGTACGTACCGGGCGTGCGACACGTCGCAGTACAAGTACGTACCGGGCGTGCGACACGTCGCAGTACAAGTACGTACCGGGCGGGGGCGGCGCCACGCGCCAGATGCCGAGGTGCAGCGCGGAGCGGTGCAGCACGTCGCAGTACAAGTACGTACCGGGCGGTGCAGCACGTCGCAGTACAAGTACGTACCGGGCGGTGCGACACGTCGCAGTACAAGTACGTACCGGGCGGGGGCGGCGCCACGCGCCAGATGCCGAGGTGCAGCGCGGAGCGGTGCAGCACGTCGCAGTACAAGTACGTACCGGGCGTGCGACACGTCGCAGTACAAGTACGTACCGGGCGGTGCGACACGTCGCAGTACAAGTACGTACCGGGCGTGCGACACGTCGCAGTACAAGTACGTACCGGGCGGTGCGACACGTCGCAGTACAAGTACGTACCGGGCGGGGGCGGCGCCACGCGCCAGATGCCGAGGTGCAGCGCGGAGCGGTGCAGCACGTCGCAGTACAAGTACGTACCGGGCGGTGCAGCACGTCGCAGTACAAGTACGTACCGGGCGGTGCAGCACGTCGCAGTACAAGTACGTACCGGGCGGTGCGACACGTCGCAGTACAAGTACGTACCGGGCGGAGCGGTGCAGCACGTCGCAGTACAAGTACGTACCGGGCGTGCGACACGTCGCAGTACAAGTACGTACCGGGCGTGCGACACGTCGCAGTACAAGTACGTACCGGGCGGGGGCGGCGCCACGCGCCAGATGCCGAGGTGCAGCGCGGAGCGGTGCAGCACGTCGCAGTACAAGTACGTACCGGGCGGTGCAGCACGTCGCAGTACAAGTACGTACCGGGCGGTGCGACACGTCGCAGTACAAGTACGTACCGGGCGGGGGCGGCGCCACGCGCCAGATGCCGAGGTGCAGCGCGGAGCGGTGCAGCACGTCGCAGTACAAGTACGTACCGGGCGTGCGACACGTCGCAGTACAAGTACGTACCGGGCGGTGCGACACGTCGCAGTACAAGTACGTACCGGGCGGGGGCGGCGCCACGCGCCAGATGCCGAGGTGCAGCGCGGAGCGGTGCAGCACGTCGCAGTACAAGTACGTACCGGGCGTGCGACACGTCGCAGTACAAGTACGTACCGGGCGGTGCGACACGTCGCAGTACAAGTACGTACCGGGCGTGCGACACGTCGCAGTACAAGTACGTACCGGGCGGTGCGACACGTCGCAGTACAAGTACGTACCGGGCGGGGGCGGCGCCACGCGCCAGATGCCGAGGTGCAGCGCGGAGCGGTGCAGCACGTCGCAGTACAAGTACGTACCGGGCGGTGCAGCACGTCGCAGTACAAGTACGTACCGGGCGGTGCAGCACGTCGCAGTACAAGTACGTACCGGGCGGTGCGACACGTCGCAGTACAAGTACGTACCGGGCGGAGCGGTGCAGCACGTCGCAGTACAAGTACGTACCGGGCGTGCGACACGTCGCAGTACAAGTACGTACCGGGCGTGCGACACGTCGCAGTACAAGTACGTACCGGGCGGGGGCGGCGCCACGCGCCAGATGCCGAGGTGCAGCGCGGAGCGGTGCAGCACGTCGCAGTACAAGTACGTACCGGGCGGTGCAGCACGTCGCAGTACAAGTACGTACCGGGCGGTGCGACACGTCGCAGTACAAGTACGTACCGGGCGGTGCGACACCTCGCAGTACAAGTACGTACCGGGCGGTGCGACACCTCGCAGTACAAGTATGTACCGGGCGGTGCGACACGTCGCAGTACAAGTACGTACCGGGCGGGGGCGGCGCCACGCGCCAGATGCCGAGGTGCAGCGCGGAGCGGTGCAGCACGTCGCAGTACAAGTACGTACCGGGCGGTGCAGCACGTCGCAGTACAAGTACGTACCGGGCGGTGCGACACGTCGCAGTACAAGTACGTACCGGGCGGGGGCGGCGCCACGCGCCAGATGCCGAGGTGCAGCGCGGAGCGGTGCAGCACGTCGCAGTACAAGTACGTACCGGGCGTGCGACACGTCGCAGTACAAGTACGTACCGGGCGGTGCGACACGTCGCAGTACAAGTACGTACCGGGCGGGGGCGGCGCCACGCGCCAGATGCCGAGGTGCAGCGCGGAGCGGTGCAGCACGTCGCAGTACAAGTACGTACCGGGCGTGCGACACGTCGCAGTACAAGTACGTACCGGGCGGTGCGACACGTCGCAGTACAAGTACGTACCGGGCGGGGGCGGCGCCACGCGCCAGATGCCGAGGTGCAGCGCGGAGCGGTGCAGCACGTCGCAGTACAAGTACGTACCGGGCGGTGCAGCACGTCGCAGTACAAGTACGTACCGGGCGTGCGACACGTCGCAGTACAAGTACGTACCGGGCGTGCGACACGTCGCAGTACAAGTACGTACCGGGCGGTGCGACACGTCGCAGTACAAGTACGTACCGGGCGGGGGCGGCGCCACGCGCCAGATGCCGAGGTGCAGCGCGGAGCGGTGCAGCACGTCGCAGTACAAGTACGTACCGGGCGGTGCGACACGTCGCAGTACAAGTACGTACCGGGCGTGCGACACGTCGCAGTACAAGTACGTACCGGGCGGGGGCGGCGCCACGCGCCAGATGCCGAGGTGCAGCGCGGAGCGGTGCAGCACGTCGCAGTACAAGTACGTACCGGGCGGTGCAGCACGTCGCAGTACAAGTACGTACCGGGCGGTGCAGCACGTCGCAGTACAAGTACGTACCGGGCGTGCGACACGTCGCAGTACAAGTACGTACCGGGCGGTGCGACACGTCGCAGTACAAGTACGTACCGGGCGGGGGCGGCGCCACGCGCCAGATGCCGAGGTGCAGCGCGGAGCGGTGCAGCACGTCGCAGTACAAGTACGTACCGGGCGTGCGACACGTCGCAGTACAAGTACGTACCGGGCGGGGGCGGCGCCACGCGCCAGATGCCGAGGTGCAGCGCGGAGCGGTGCAGCACGTCGCAGTACAAGTACGTACCGGGCGGTGCAGCACGTCGCAGTACAAGTACGTACCGGGCGGTGCAGCACGTCGCAGTACAAGTACGTACCGGGCGTGCGACACGTCGCAGTACAAGTACGTACCGGGCGGTGCGACACGTCGCAGTACAAGTACGTACCGGGCGGGGGCGGCGCCACGCGCCAGATGCCGAGGTGCAGCGCGGAGCGGTGCAGCACGTCGCAGTACAAGTACGTACCGGGCGGTGCAGCACGTCGCAGTACAAGTACGTACCGGGCGGTGCGACACGTCGCAGTACAAGTACGTACCGGGCGGGGGCGGCGCCACGCGCCAGATGCCGAGGTGCAGCGCGGAGCGGTGCAGCACGTCGCAGTACAAGTACGTACCGGGCGTGCGACACGTCGCAGTACAAGTACGTACCGGGCGGTGCGACACGTCGCAGTACAAGTACGTACCGGGCGGGGGCGGCGCCACGCGCCAGATGCCGAGGTGCAGCGCGGAGCGGTGCAGCACGTCGCAGTACAAGTACGTACCGGGCGTGCGACACGTCGCAGTACAAGTACGTACCGGGCGGTGCGACACGTCGCAGTACAAGTACGTACCGGGCGGGGGCGGCGCCACGCGCCAGATGCCGAGGTGCAGCGCGGAGCGGTGCAGCACGTCGCAGTACAAGTACGTACCGGGCGTGCGACACGTCGCAGTACAAGTACGTACCGGGCGGTGCGACACGTCGCAGTACAAGTACGTACCGGGCGGGGGCGGCGCCACGCGCCAGATGCCGAGGTGCAGCGCGGAGCGGTGCAGCACGTCGCAGTACAAGTACGTACCGGGCGTGCGACACGTCGCAGTACAAGTACGTACCGGGCGTGCGACACGTCGCAGTACAAGTACGTACCGGGCGGGGGCGGCGCCACGCGCCAGATGCCGAGGTGCAGCGCGGAGCGGTGCAGCACGTCGCAGTACAAGTACGTACCGGGCGTGCGACACGTCGCAGTACAAGTACGTACCGGGCGGTGCGACACGTCGCAGTACAAGTACGTACCGGGCGGGGGCGGCGCCACGCGCCAGATGCCGAGGTGCAGCGCGGAGCGGTGCAGCACGTCGCAGTACAAGTACGTACCGGGCGTGCGACACGTCGCAGTACAAGTACGTACCGGGCGTGCGACACGTCGCAGTACAAGTACGTACCGGGCGTGCGACACGTCGCAGTACAAGTACGTACCGGGCGGTGCGACACGTCGCAGTACAAGTACGTACCGGGCGGGGGCGGCGCCACGCGCCAGATGCCGAGGTGCAGCGCGGAGCGGTGCAGCACGTCGCAGTACAAGTACGTACCGGGCGTGCGACACGTCGCAGTACAAGTACGTACCGGGCGTGCGACACGTCGCAGTACAAGTACGTACCGGGCGTGCGACACGTCGCAGTACAAGTACGTACCGGGCGGTGCGACACGTCGCAGTACAAGTACGTACCGGGCGGGGGCGGCGCCACGCGCCAGATGCCGAGGTGCAGCGCGGAGCGGTGCAGCACGTCGCAGTACAAGTACGTACCGGGCGTGCGACACGTCGCAGTACAAGTACGTACCGGGCGGTGCGACACGTCGCAGTACAAGTACGTACCGGGCGGGGGCGGCGCCACGCGCCAGATGCCGAGGTGCAGCGCGGAGCGGTGCAGCACGTCGCAGTACAAGTACGTACCGGGCGTGCGACACGTCGCAGTACAAGTACGTACCGGGCGGTGCGACACGTCGCAGTACAAGTACGTACCGGGCGGGGGCGGCGCCACGCGCCAGATGCCGAGGTGCAGCGCGGAGCGGTGCAGCACGTCGCAGTACAAGTACGTACCGGGCGTGCGACACGTCGCAGTACAAGTACGTACCGGGCGGTGCGACACGTCGCAGTACAAGTACGTACCGGGCGGGGGCGGCGCCACGCGCCAGATGCCGAGGTGCAGCGCGGAGCGGTGCAGCACGTCGCAGTACAAGTACGTACCGGGCGTGCGACACGTCGCAGTACAAGTACGTACCGGGCGTGCGACACGTCGCAGTACAAGTACGTACCGGGCGGGGGCGGCGCCACGCGCCAGATGCCGAGGTGCAGCGCGGAGCGGTGCAGCACGTCGCAGTACAAGTACGTACCGGGCGTGCGACACGTCGCAGTACAAGTACGTACCGGGCGGTGCGACACGTCGCAGTACAAGTACGTACCGGGCGGGGGCGGCGCCACGCGCCAGATGCCGAGGTGCAGCGCGGAGCGGTGCAGCACGTCGCAGTACAAGTACGTACCGGGCGTGCGACACGTCGCAGTACAAGTACGTACCGGGCGTGCGACACGTCGCAGTACAAGTACGTACCGGGCGTGCGACACGTCGCAGTACAAGTACGTACCGGGCGGTGCGACACGTCGCAGTACAAGTACGTACCGGGCGGGGGCGGCGCCACGCGCCAGATGCCGAGGTGCAGCGCGGAGCGGTGCAGCACGTCGCAGTACAAGTACGTACCGGGCGTGCGACACGTCGCAGTACAAGTACGTACCGGGCGTGCGACACGTCGCAGTACAAGTACGTACCGGGCGTGCGACACGTCGCAGTACAAGTACGTACCGGGCGGTGCGACACGTCGCAGTACAAGTACGTACCGGGCGGGGGCGGCGCCACGCGCCAGATGCCGAGGTGCAGCGCGGAGCGGTGCAGCACGTCGCAGTAGGCGGCGGACAGCAGCTGCGCCACGTAGCGTCCGTACAGCGTGCCCCACACTAGGCCCACTTGCTGGGACGCCGCGTACACGTCGTAGTATAAGTACGTCTAAGAAGCAAAAATTAAATATAAAATATAATCCATTAGAGACACCGCACACTACAGACTTTCTATCAGGCAAGAGTTTAGTCGGCTTGGGCTGCTAGTGCGCACACTGGGTCAATTAAACAGTCGGGTTAGTGGTGAGTGCGTACGCTAGTTGACTGTTGACTAGTGTACGCACTCACCGAAACTGCTTACTAACTGTTGTTTGCGAAAAAACTGTTAGTAGGCAGCTCTTGAAGTGAGCAGTCGCGTAAGGAAACCTGAAATATTGTTCAGAAATGTTATTATTATTGCTATTATACAACGAAGGAGATGGATGAAGAAGAGAGACCGAGAATACTGTGTATATACAGTGACAGGTTACTTCTTCCCCCAGCATTTTCTATAAATTTACATCATATTTCAACTTCTTCTATCAACTGTAAAATAGATGATTCGACAAGCAGCCTCAATTAGATGCATGCGTACTTCTTTTCCACGCCAAAATTTTGAGCGAAGTGACGTTATCGACCGAGTCGGCCGACTTATGCGGCGTGTATGCGCGCCTCGAAGAACGCCGTACTGATTTAGCAGCTGGCCGATACTTGACCAACAATTTAGTTTGAAGAGAATCGTGTAGCCCATCAACTGATTTATCGGTCGATAACTAATCGTTACAATAAGCGCACTTGCATACATTCTTAATCGGTATAGAGTACCAATTAAGAAACCGACTAAACTCTCGCCCGATAGAAAGTCTGCAGTGTGCGGTGTCTCTTACAGATATCCATTTTTATTGTAGAACCTGAGTAACCGATATAGTCGAAGGGATTAGTAAGCTAAAGTGGCAATGTGCCGGTCATGTAGCTCTAAGCTAAGAACCGACAACTGATTGGGAAGGAAGGTTCTCTATTGACAGCCTCATACGGTAGACGAAGTGTAGGGCGGTCCCCCACTAGATGGAGTAACAACCTGGACATGCAGTAAGTCGATGGACGAATAGCTCAGGACCGTGGTCTATGTTTAGCAGTGGACTTGTGAGGAGCTGTAATGATGATGATGATAATGATTTTTATTGTAACTAAATCACACGTTTGTCAGAATGAGCTAAAATTCAAGCAAGCTTTACGAATGTTGTAATAGACTTGGGCTTCTCCTATTAGTTTTCCATTCCATTCCGAATTCGAATTGTAACATTAAAAATATAGCAAAATTCATTTCGGAGAGGTAAACGAATCTTATGACACCTCATACTTCTAAATCCTTAATACCAATTACGTCATAAGTTAAAGAAACAGAGAAACATGCATGTGCAACTACTTACACCGACGTACCTTTTGCTGCAATTTAGCAAAAAAAAGCCTACTTATAGGTTAAATATAATTATGATTATGAACTTAAAAGACTTAATGTTACTACATTCTCTTTTCAGTCCGAGAGAAGAAACACAGGTGAGAAATTCCACTTCTTGATGGCACCAAAAATGAGAAATAACGCTTTGAACACCACCAAAATAAACAAATGATATACAGGTAAAACCTATCCTAGTCCTATGATGTAGAAGGGATGAAGAAATTATGGTGTGCCTGCGTGCTCTTCGAAATGAACACTAACAAAAGCACTCATCATAAAATTTCATATAATAAGTAATGTTTGATCCCTGCCAACACCAATGAAAGTGTTGATTGCAATTTGAGGTGCTTATTCTAAGGATGTGTTCCTCCACCACCAACATATTTATTAATTTATTGAGTATCACCAACACAGTTTACAATAATGATTACATATTTAACACATTCTATATTACTTAAACAAACAAAGGCGAATAAAGAGCACGAACCAAATACAATGTAAAGTATGAAAATAAAAAAGGATAATACTTGGTTAAAATTAAATAACAAAAAGATTAATTAGAAGAATTCGTGTACAGTAGTGAGCTCATTTTATATGGAAAATATGGGTAAAAAAAAAATTAAGAAAATATATTGAGGACATGCAAATTCTATATACTCAAGTCTCTCAGGAGAGTAAAGACCTGTGAGACATATACTATACAGGGTTATTTTTTCAAAGAGTAGCCATTACATTGAAGTTCTAATAAATAAATTATTATATGTATATCGAAATATTTTTTTGAAAATACGAGTAAATAAAGCTTCTACTTTTATTTGAAATTATCCCAAAATGGATGTGATTTTTGGGCAACAACTACTCTTACGCGCACTTTTACACACAGGAGTGTATAATGTGATTCAATTCACGTTTTCATTTCTCAAGTGTTTTGCCTATTGTTTACTTTCTTAGTGACACGCATACTACTTATGCTAAGATAATAATTAATAACTACATGACGCGAATTATGATGTCAATTTTCCTTTTACACTTTTAACGGGCTTAGGATCGTCATAATAACTAAATTAAAAAAATATAGTTTTGCTTATCAACGACGTAACTGACGACTGTCCTTATTATACCTACAAAATTCGAAAATCTTCACTATCGACTTAGAGAATATCTTATATGTAGAAATAAAAATAAAAACTCACCGGTGCAAAACAACAAGGAACAAAACTAGTGTAATAGGCGCCAAGCATAGAATTAAATATTATTTTCTTCAGTCTCAGATTGAAATCAGCTGTTAGCATGTCAGCTTCGTTGCGTGCGTGCTCTGGATCGTGGGAACAGCAGTGCAAAGGCGGAGTCTCATTATCCAGCTCTAGGAAAGGACTTGATTGAAAACCAAACAATATGAAGTATACCGCAGCTCTGTAAAAGTATAAATTAGTGTAAAAAATAATGAAAGTAACAAAACTATAAACATCCATGGCACTTGATACAAAAAGTGGCAAACATTTAAACCAGGAGTGTTTCATTAAAGAACTAACGTACCAAATGATGTTACAGCCTATCATACTGTACGTCTGAATATATGCCTTCCCCATAAATTTCCTCATATGGCTATTTGGCATAGTTGAAAAGCTTGGCACCACCACTTTGGTGGGTAACCACATTTTTTATAATTTTAAGTTAATGTATATAACTGGACATAATATTACTTACGGATAACAGAGGTAAAATATCCCACTGAGTAGATATTTATTCATTATAAAGTATGTACACCATGCAAGGGCACCCAAAATTACACCAAGTATGAACATCCTGAAAATAATTAGGTAAATTTAAAAATGATGACTATATTTTTTTTCTTTTTTTTTTCCTTTTTTATTAAAAAACGTTACCCCACACTAGGATTTTCTCCTGTATCGTGGAGGCAGTTTACAAACACAAATTGCACAAGGACAAACATCCAGACCCGGAACAATTATTTGTAGGCCATACAAATAGTTGTTCCGTGCGGGATTCGAACCCGCGCACCCCAGCGCAGTAACTCATTCATTGCTAAGCCACTGCGCCACGGAGCCGTCATATAGTTTCATTGACGGAGTAGCTGTGTTGGTCCTGCTTTCAAGAATCAGCTTTTGAACAGGGAAAACAACTTCAAACAAAAAAATCCTTTTTCGACCCTAATGGCTAAAGATTATTTTACCTGGCTCTCTTATTCTTCATACCGGAACACAGCAGTGTGTATTATCGCTTCAAAATTCAAGCCCTACTGCAGGAGACTTTGTTAAACCAAGCTAAAGTAACTCGCAAGCAGACTGTTTTTCTCTTGAACACATAAATACTTAAATCAAATAAAATAAGGTGAATGGAAGCTGAACAAATTCTTTCTTCTTTCTTTCTGATGTTTTGCTTTCATTTCTTATAACTGTTATGTTTTTCTTTCATTTACGTATCATGTTCACTGAATTTGTTTGCTAGATAACAGATAATAGTGCTAGCTTTTGGCAATTTTAGTAATTTTAAATTGTTCTTACTTCCTTTAATTTTTTAATTATTAATTTGTAGATAATAACAAAACATGGCAGTGGTAGATATGAGAGTTTACTTCTGGAACCAGAAGCTTCAAGGAAATAAATGGGCTTAGCTTTCCATTGACTGCCGTCGAGTTTGGTGTTGATACGTACTTTTACGGAAAGGTTACATTTTTATAAGCACACACACAATGTTTACATATGCGGAAACGCGTACTTTTTGAGAAAAAACATTATTTGAAAATTAATTATTTTTGCAATGTTTATGTTACATTCCTAGCGTAAAACTGGCGCCATTTTATAATGTCATTGTCGTCGTCAGTACGGATGTCGATTCTTTCCGAAAAAGATAGATTTTGAAATCGATTCGAATCGTAAGCTGTCGTGAATTAACAAAGAATGGATTTCTGAAATATAGATATATTTTCCTGTTATACCATAATAAATGATTTCTTATGGAAAAAAAGAAAGATAATACAATAAATGATCTCTTATCAGTAAAATCAGTTTTAATGGTTTGGTTCTACTTATGTCAAAGAACCAAATTTATTGACCCCGACTCATCAACATTCATCGGTATCTGTGTCCTCACACGTATAAACCGATGAATGTTCTTCAGAGTGATTGATTAAACAAAATATTAACAAGTTGTTATAAGTATTTAAAATAGTTAAGTTAAAAGTAATAAAGATTTTTTATCTACAATTTAATTTGTTTTAATGTTCAAGTACCAAAATTCGTCATTCCAGCTATACTGGTTCAGTATTATCAACAGATGCTTAACTTCAAGTGTTAAAGCAATAAAATAATCACACAACAATAGATTAACATTACAGCTGTAATTGCTAAGTCTCAAGTGGAATCCTGCCATCCTATTTGAAATGAACTATATTTGGTACAAAACTATACAGGTGAACCGCCCCGAAAACCCTGGTTTATAGACATGAAATTAAATAGAAATATTATTAAAATAATGTTTAGAATTAGAACAGGTCACATTTCATTAAAAAAAAATTCTTATCCAATGAAAAGAAAACGTAAGAAGGTAAGAAAAGCCCTAACTAGGGCCATGAATACCTCAATGGATGAAGACTAGCTACTATACAAAAAAGCTAAGTCTGAAAAATGTATAACAAGGTATGTAAACACAACAATGTGACTATGCAATGGTTAAGGAGACACAGTGGATCCAGGGGCAACCATGCAGCTGACGAACTGGCCAAGAAAGGTTCGTCTCTGGCCACTGTATGGCCGGAACCAATCATACCAATCCCCTTTGGTAACCTTTGTTCACTGGTAGGTAAAAACTTCACTATCCAACACAGCTTTGGAAAAATTTAGTACTGTAGACAAGCTAGGAAGGCCTTGCCTCAAATAAACAGTTGTTTAACCAAGGTTCTAATGAGATTGAATAAGCCACAGATCAGAATGAAGAAGACATGGCTCCTTTAACAAACATTTCTTTACCATAGCTGTTACAGATAATTCCTTGTGCAGAGCATGTATGGGGAGGAAAAAACGGTGGCCCACATGTAGCTGACATATCCAGAGGTCGTTGCAGATAGGGCTAATCATCTTGGCATGCTGGGATCACTCCCCGAAGTTGCTTGCAACATCAAAGGACTGTTGAACTTCTTTGGGGATATTTCATGGCTCAGATAATTGCATTATTCCTGCCCACACGCAAAATATGGGCTTAGACGTGGAGTTGCAGAAAACAGCCCGTCGTTATCTTATCTTATCTATACTTTGTTTTTACCATTGAATTTAGAAGCTATTAATTGGAAATGATTTTTTTTTATTTTTAGTTCTACGAACTCGTCTTTTAAAAGTTTAATTTTAATACACTATATTAGACAGACTTCTCACATTTCCTCTTATAACAAACAGTTCCATAATTAAATTTTTCTTACCGGGCAGCAATTGTTGCATGCGGCATAAGCTTAGGAGGGAGAAAATATCTTAATATGGCCAAAGTAATGCTAAAGACCAGCCTCCTGCTGATAATAGTCACAATAAATGCCACCAGATGAGGGTCTATCAGATAAAAATTCTGAAAAGAGTCACAAAAATCGCTGATTAGGTAAAACATTTTGCAAATTACAATGATTTTTACAAATAAAAATAATTTTTAAGCTTTTCATTAAAAATCCTTTTGAGTGTAGTAGTAGTACTAAACCAAGTTTCTAAATACAACAGTTTTTTTTAGTGATATGTGTAAGATCTTACCATAGCTTGGTTAGTATAAGAGTGTGGTAACCACCATACTGTCCTATATAAATTAAGAAACTGTAATCCAGCTGCCACAAGTGTGAAGATAAAAGTCATAAACTCAAATAACATTTCCCCATCTTGCGGGATGTATGGAAATGGTATATGTTTGGGAGGTAGCAGACCATCAGATAATTTGATGTCTGTTGTGCCCATAGTTGATGATGGTGTTGTTGTGGGCGATAAACGAGTAGTACGACTAACTCGTTTCCCACCACCATTCATATCCTCTTCCGGTAATGACACTGGTCCCTGTAATAACAGAAATTAAACATGAATAATAGGTAAAACACAACAAACAAATTGGTATATATTTTGGGGAAGCGATTATCATAGATAAAGTATAGTGTAGATTGGCAATGGAGTGATTAGGGCGAGACCGAAATCAAAATACACCAGTGTGCATGTAATATGGACGCATGCATGACAAATAGTGCTGCACCATGTATTACCTGCTTCAACTATAATTATCGATACTGATTACAGCATATTTGTGTTTTCTGATTTGATGCTGATGATGTAAGTGAATATTTCTACCCAACTACTGCAAAGCCAAAAAGATTATTACAATTATAGAAGGCTATGTTTGTATGTATGTTCATCTTTTTTTTTTCCTAGTTTGGCAACTTCCAATGGATTCTGCCAGCGTCAATTATTTCATGAGAGTCACACAGAGTATTTACTAGTTTCCGTTTCCGTAGATGCACTTACTTAGCTTTATGTTACCGTGTTACGAACTTACTTATGTAGTTATTTTCGAATTAATTAACATTATAATGTTTTGACAAAATTATTGCTAATATAATAATATGAATATAGGTAAGTGGCAAAGGTACTATAGTTTAATGTTATTAATGGATATGAAGAAACAATGAAGAACACAGAAAATGTACAAACTCTGAGCAACGAGCTGGAAAAAACCATCATAAATAGTCTAGAACAGGATAGAGTATTAAAAACCAGTAACGAAAAACCAAAAATTATTACCGAACTAACACAAGAACTGATTTCTAAGCGTACAGAACTCCTATCTATAAGAGAAAAATCTAAAGAAATGAGACACGAATTAAAAGAACTATATAAGAAGACAAACAGACAATCAGGCAAGATTACGAAAGACATAGAAGAATAATCATAGAGAGAAATATGGCAACATATAAAAGTTCAAAGAGAGCCTTTAAAGAGCTGTCAACGCATAAAAACTGGATACAAGGTCTACAAGATGGAAAAGAGGAAACAAGAAACAGAGAAGACATAGTAAAGCGCGCAACAGCTTTCTTCTCAGAACTTTACAGAAGAACATCCCAAGATGAAACTCAAAAGGATGAACAATTGAAAATTAAACACACAAGAGAATCCCAACTAGAAGAAGTAACTTTAACTCCTATAACCGAAGGGGAGATGAAAGACATATAAAAAGACTGAAGTCTGAAAAAATCCCAGGACCAGATAAAATAACAAATGAAGCTCTAAAACTTGGGTCATCTATTCTAGTAAACTACCTGACGAAACTATTCAACTTAATCATACAACAAGAACAAATTCCAAAACAATAGTGCAGCTCAAACATAATTGTTACGGCCCGCAGCTGCCCCTGCAAAGGTTCAATATCCCGGGGCCCATGAGCGGAAGATTCAACGGGCAGCCGCGGGTTCGAGCCCGAATGGCTATATGGAAGAATTTCCTATAATACTAAGCTATATGGGAGAAGGCTATGGAAATATAGTACGTACCTGTTTCAGACTCTTAGATCGCCAAAAGGCTCGGTCAGGCCGTAAGTGGGTGTGAAGGTGCGTGGCAAGTAGTGTTTAGTGATGTGTAAATGTCTGAGACTTGGACCAGCTTAGGTGACCAGCAGCGGCCGAGTTCCAGGCTGCCTCACAATGCTGCATCGCTCCAGCAGGCTCCACCGCTGGACCATTTCTTTCTTCATTGTCACTATTTCAGTCTATTAGCTTCATTGTACATTTAACTAACTTAAACTCGCCTAATTCCACATTCATCGTAGAATCGAACACGTAATACCCGACACAGTAAGGACAGTAGTTCAAAATTCGACATTCAATGTCCCGGATTCACTTATCACAAAATTATAAATAGGGAACTAACGCGATCTCTTAATGAGTCATACGGTTCAGCGTTAAACACAACTAAGTTCCTTCATTCGACACCAAAACACCACGTCGCGAAAAGAATTCAAAATACGCCTCGTTGACACGTAAACTAACAAACCAACCAACACACAAAAAGGGCACTTAACGCGACGGCACAATTATAATGATTTCCAAACAATCAACCGGGAGACGCTCTCGACCAAGGAATGCGCGGTTCGAATCCTAGACCCTATATCTACTCGACGCGCGCGTGCACAATTCCGTATCACCCGAACAAGTTAAATATTGCAAAATTCACATATCCACGTAGCGAAGTAACACGCACTAAAAAAAATCTGGACCCTACACGGTCGCGTGAACTTCGGCCGCGATAATCGAGATACGCGGATTCACCGCATCGCGGCCAGCGAACTACCGCTTCTTCGCCCACACGTCGAGCCACTGCAAGCCGCACACAGCTGCTCCAGCTGGCGGTGTTTTTTTCACCTACATACCATCGGGTGACGCGCCAGCTCGAACGCAATTAGATAGCATTCAAAAATGACCAAATTTGGGCATAAATACGAGAAATAGAATAAAAAAATAAGAGATACTGCTCTATAAAAAAGGAAATCCACTTGATGTAAACAATTATAGACCAATTAGTCTACTATCTTCAACCTATAAACTGTTCTCTTCGATAATCCTAAGTAGAATAGCCCCAGACATAGACAGAAACCAACCAATAGAACAAGCAGGCTTCCGACCACACTACTCAACAATGGATCACATACACGCTATGGAACAAATAATAGAAAAATACAAAGAATACAACATGCCGTTATACATAGCATTTGTAGATTATGCTAAAGCGTTTCACAGCATATCACATTCATCTATTTGGAAGGCTTTGAGAAAAAACAAAATAAATGAAAAATACATTAGTGTGCTAAAGAACATATATGCTAAGAGTACAAGCAAAATAAAACTAGAAAGACACTGAGAAGAGTTCGAAATTGGGAAAGGAGTGAGGCAAGGTGACCCCCTTTCACCCACACTATTTATAGCCATCCTTGAACACATATTTCAAAACCTAGAATGGAAAAACAAAGTTATATGGATACTAAATAAAAGATTAACACACCTACGATTTGCTGATGACATAGCTCTCTTCAGTGAATCTGCAACTGAATTAGAAAGCATGCTTCAGAGCCTGAATACCCAAAGCCAAAAAGTAGGACTTGAAATTAATTTATCAAAAACAAAAATTATTACAAACAGCTCCAAAAAACCAATGAAAATAGAAGGAAAGTTCATTGAATATGTTGATGACTATGTATATTTAGGCAAACTGATATTTCGAACTAAACAGCAATGAAAAAGAAATAGACAGAAGAATAAACATAGTGTGGAAAAAATCTTGGGCTCAAAAAGAAATTCTTAAAGGAAATTACAGCCCAAGAATGAAAAAGGTCATAATGGACATGTGTATCCTTCCAAGTCTAACATATGCAAGCCAAACATGGGTAGTATACAGAAAGAGTGAAAAACAAAATTTTGTCCTGCCAACATGTTATGGAGAGAAGCATCTTAAGGATGAATTTTAAATTTTAAATTAAGGAGAATACAAAAAACAAGAAATATAGATATCCACAAGAAAACTAAATTAACAGATGCACTTCATCATAGCCAAATACAAAAATGGAAATGGGCAGGACACATAGCTAGATATCAGGACAAAAGATGGACCTACCAAACAACAAAATGGAAGGGCCCGTTTGGCAAGAGGAGTGTAGGACAGCAAAGGAAAAGATGGGTGGATGACATTATTAACACAGCAGGAGAACAATGGATGCAAATTGCCAAAAACCACAAAGAATGGTTCAAGTTGGAGGAGGCTTTTACCCAAGAGGGACTACATAAACTAACAAATAATTTCTAATAGTTAAGTTCTATGTATTTATTTATTTTTTTATTAACTCTGTAAATGTGTAGAGGAATAAAGCATTATTATTATTATTATGGATATGAAGTCTAATAAAGTTTGTACAAAAGGAGTGTAAACTAAATTTAACAAAAACTTAAGATTTACAGGACGAGGGACGTTATTAGGAAGAAAATCGTATAATGAAAAGGAGAGGTTAGGGCAGTTAAAAAATTTATGATCGATCGTACCTTCGTCTAATCCACACTCACAAATTGAGCTATCTTGAATCTTAAGTTTTGCCAAAAATACAGGTGAATAAGTGAGTCCCAATCTAATTCTACATATGACAGATGTGCTATGTTTGGAGCCATTTCTAAATTTAAAAAACCGTGGTTTGGAGGGGATGTCAGGTTGGAGTTCTGCATAATATTTACTGATAGACTTCAGAGTTTTTTTCCCAAGGGAGTTCCAATCTGATATCTGATGGATTTTCGCAAGAGAAATAAGGTCATGAGTATATGTTATATGATGCATGAGGGTACCAGAAGTAGATGCTTACTTTGCTAAGGAATCGACAATTTCATTGTCACTATGACTTGGCAGCCAAGCAAGTTTCAGGTTAAGACCTTGACAAAAACACCTATACAGTGCATCTTTTATTTAAAAAATAATTGGGAATTTCGATTTACTTCGAAACAAGTTAGATGAAATGCTTTGCAATGAACTATATGAGTCAGTAAAAACAATACATTTGTTAATTTTATGCACTTCTATAAATAAAATTGCTTCTAAAATAACAACCGCTTCACCAGTGAAAATTGAAGTAGCATTTGAATTTTTAAAATTTAAACAATTTTATATTTCGGTATCCAGATAGCTGAACCTACAAAACTATTATCGGAGTTTGGAGGCATCAGTAAAAAGGGTCAACCTTTTGTTTTTTGATTGTTGGGCTACAGGGGAATTTTTAATAATAAAAATCTAAAATAACTGGAGGATGATAACATAGAGCTTCAAATGGATGTACGAATAGAGAATTAATCATACTTTAAAATATGGGGAATTTAAAGGTAAGTAGCTTTTAAGGATACAGGGAACGTCCTTATGAGTCCAGTAGTTGTTATTCTTCAAACCAGAGTTTAAAGAATGCAGTTTAGAAAGCAGTGGGTGTGAAGATAGCTGAAATATTCTATATATAAAGCGATCGGCAATATACTGTCTACGTAGGTAAAGAGGAGGTTTGTTACATTCAACTTGTAGAGCATTTGACGGATATGATTTCATGGCCCCCAAAATAATTCGTAAGCACTTGAGTTGGATTTTATCCAAAAGCTTAAGAGCTTGTTTTTTTTTTTTTATAGGAGAGGAGGCAAACAAGCATGCGGCTCACCTGATGGTAAGTGACTACCGCCACCCATGAACAACCGCAACACCAGGAGAAGGTCCTTTTAAAAAGGAGTAGGCTCTTTTCTTGAAGGTCCCTAAGTCGTATCGCTCCGGAAAAATCGCTGGTAGTAAACTATTCCACAAGGAAGTTGTGCGAGGAAGAAAACATCTTCTAAATCGCACAGTGGTGGACCGCCAATCATCCAGATGGTGTGGATGGTATCAGGAGTTCTGCCGCGATGTGCGTTCGTGAAATTTGGCGGCTGGGATTAATCCGAACAATTCCTCAGAGCACTCCCCATGGTAAATGCGAAAGAAAATGCAAAGAGATGCAACATCTCTTCGCAGTGCCAATGAGTCGAGCCGATCGGAAAGGACTTGGTCGTCGACGATTCGAGCCGCTCTGCGCTGGATGCGGTCAAGTGGAAGGAGCTGGCACTGGGGAGCCCCAGCCCAGAGATGGGAACAGTATTCCATGTGAGGCCGAACCTGCGCCTTGTAAAGTTGCAGGCGTTGAGCTGGCATGAAATACTGTCCCGCTCTAATGAGCACGCCAAGCTTTTTAGAGGCCAATTTGGCCTTCTCTTCCAAGTGACCATGAAACTGCACGTCACTCGATATGTCGACGCCGAGGATTCCGATACTGGCTGAGGCAACAAGGGGAGTACCTTGAAACTGAGGAGATACGACAAAGGGGTTCTTTTTAGCAGTAAACGCGCAAACTTGTGTCTTCTGAGGATTAAACTGGACTAGATTTAGTCGCCCCCAATCCGAGACTTTGTCCAGCAAAGACTCGACTTCAGACACAAGTTTGTTCCGGTTTATTACAAGGTTCCAAAAGATATGTACCGTAGTCAAAATGACTACGGTTTAGAGCATTATATAAAAGCTTTAAACAATATGGATGTGATCCCCACCAAACACCTGCGAAGGATATTTACATTCTTATGATCATCTGTTCCCTCAAATCTTATACATTGTATATTGACAAATTTGATATCTTTAAAAGCATTGTGCTCTTTCGTGAGTTTTAAGCTGGATGAAATTACATAAAAACTAACATGACGGCTTATTGTAGATGCAATGAAACATTAAAACACATACTATTGTTAGGAAAACTAAAACAAAAACTTAAATTATCATAAAGTCCACTACTGAACATAGGCCTCCTACTTAGATTGCCTCATAGAGGAGTAATTTTCCATAGTTACCATGCTTGGCAAAGCGGGTTGGGAACCACAGATTTATTTATTTTTAGTTGTTACTAGGAAGCTGCTGCTGCCCATCTGATTTGTTTCCTTCTGTTACTTCTTATGACACCCGCGGAATGATATGGTGTAGTGGATATTCTTACACCGCTTCTACACAGTGGGCACCTCTATGAGAAAAACATTTTTTTTTCAAAGTACTTGCTGCATATAGTCGATTTTTTTTGTCGAATATCAATATTTTGTAAAATCTACCACAGTATCCACTTATCATCAGGTGAATTGTGTGCTTGTTTGTCACCCTAATCTATTAAATATAATTTTTTCATACAGTTAGAAGATTATTTAACTATAGTCACCCAAAACTTAAAAAAAGTACTAAGTTGAATAAGGCTGCATGCAAGTAAGTTTACTTGTTAAGGACATTTCGATAAGATATTATCGATAATGTGAAGTTCACACAAAAGTGTGGTTAAAATTAGCAGAATTTCACATATTTGTAATTATTTTAAATTGAATTGCTTTGCATTCAGATGATTATTATTATAAAATGTGATTATATTTTCTACCTATTGAAGTACAAATTATTTGTACCTGCTCTAAAGTACAGTGTTTAGATAGCTAAACGAAATGTTGTTGTTGTGTTAAATCATATCTATGAGTTGAATATATAATAATATGGGTTTTATTTCTGAGGTGAGATATATTTAGGTACTACCCACCTAGTCATAATTAATTATGTCTATTAAATACTAATTTTCACTTTAAACCCTGCGATTTTGCAAATACAAGAGGGATTTGTTTTGTTCAGACATGCCTCCAAGCCTATATAGCCTGATAGTGTGTATTTGAATGGTCTAGGCCATCTTTCTCATTCTCACATATGTGTAAACTATGCTCGTTCTCTTTTTCATTGCCAATCTACTCTAACATTAGTTAGTTACTAAATCTATGGAATGAATCCAAATCTACTCCCACTAACCCTGAGGAAATATAATATAATATATAAATAATCTTATTGTTTAAAAATGCTTAATTTACAAATACTATTGAAACATGGCCAGTAGCATATATATGAGAAAACAGGTATACCCATGTCATATATGGCATATTGCAAATGTGACTTTAGGGGCTAAATTTAAAAAACTCATGTTGGCATTTGGGGTTTTAAAATATTTTAGAATGAGTGAAAATGTTTGTGTTGACAATGTTTTGTTATCTCTACATGTATCTGAAATGAAAAGCCAAAAGTTTTTCAGACAGTTTTTTAACAAGAGGCATTATAGCAGTTTTGGTGTCAAATTTGATAAGAGTTTAAATATAACAGATCCAAACCTTCCTCGGAACTCCAATGGCTTTTTTTGTCCCCGGTGGCACCATTTTACAAGCAATCGGTGGTAAGGGCCGCTTAATAAGCGGGTCTTTAATTATTTTCCGTCGTCTAGAAACAGCTGTGGACGATGTGCTGCTAACTTGTGAATTAGCCCAGCGCCTAGCCAAAAGTATGGTCAGGCAGCCGACAACAGCTGGTAAGAAGAATACGACAAAAGGGCCACTTTCATTTTCGGTACAACTCATCACTTACATGATAAAATATCACAATGTTTTTATTTCGAATCTCACACACGGCACGGCCGTCAACTTCACTTTATTTCACATAAACCTGAAGACTTCTGATTCTGAGCCCAATACAAGCAAGTAAGCACAGACTACTAAGAACTAGGGATGATCGATGATCATCGATGTTCGATGATCATCGATCATCAAACCCATAATCGATTATTGGGTACTAGCGAACACTGCGAACCCGCGAAATCTTAAAATTTTGAATAATTCGGAATGCTTGAACGCATCGATAACCTAAAAATATATCATTGTGGTGTATCAAAATTAACTGTTAAGTGTCAACTGTAATGTCGCATTTGTCTCTGATTTCGTTTTGTTATCGGTGTCGTTGTTGGTTGTCTGTTTCTTTGTCGGTTATTTAAAAAAAAATCCGATGGTTGATCTTAAACACGATCCAATGCACGTTAAGAATCTAAAATAAAAATAAAAACTTACGGTGAGGTATTTGACCACAAGTTCAAGTACAAGTTCTTTATCGGACGGTACGAATTTGACGGATGGGGGCTAGGCGAGATAAAGTGTAAGATTTTTCCGTTATGACCTCTTCTGATATAGTGTAGACGGCCTTAGCGGCTACGATTCATCGCGAAATGGAAAAATATCCATCTCCCTCACACTTTTTCTTACCTTGCCATGAGAAAAATATTAGTTTGTTTTAAACGACGCTTTATTTTAATAGACGCTACTAATTCATTTATTAATCAATAATATAATACGTTAAACAATAATAATATAAGCGTTAGTAACCTAATGGCAGAGCGCGGACCGCAAACTCGAAAGGTCGTGGGTTCCAATCCGTCATTCAATTACTGTCGTGAATCACTTCTAACACAAGCATTTTAAGCTTACCAGAAGTGGTTTAAGGGAATATTGGTAATGTTATAGCATTACTAGTATTTTAAAAAATACTACGGAAGGAACTTCGTTCCAACCGAGTGTTCTACGACACTCACGCATGGTTTTTTTTCTGGGTGAACTGATTGCGATGTATTTTTTTTTATTTGAAAGCTGGTGCTTCGTCATGTGGTCCCATATAAATTTAACCTATATAAGTCTGACCAATAGTTTTGAGTTGTCCTTAATAATTTATATTGAAGTCAGTTGTACAAAATTTTTATTTTTAAATTATTTTCAATAGCATGCTCAACTCTTTATTAACAGAGAAACAGATTGAAAGGTACTTCTTTGTCAAAATTACTATTTCTTTAATAAATCGGCAAAAATATTGGACTATATAACAAATGAACTAGATACTTGTGAACTTCTTCCAATTTTTTAATTACTCTTTTGCACTACATTCTTTATTAATTTCTTTTATTTCATTAATTATAAACCATAAACAAGATGACAATTTTTTATTCATTATATTATATATTTATGCACTATAACTATTAAAAACATGTGCAAAAAACATAGATAATGGCCAATATCGATGGTTTGAGTAGAATAAACATCGAACATCGATGTTGAGCTATCGACGTCAACATCGATGTCATCATCGATGTTTCTACGAAATCGAGCATCCCTACTAAGAGCACAAACCGGAACAAACTTGTGTCTGAAGTCGAGTCTTTGCTGGACAAAGTCTCGGATTGGGGGCGACTAAATCTAGTCCAGTTTAATCCTCAGAAGACACAAGTTTGCGCGTTTACCGCTAAAAAGAACCCCTTTGTCGTATCTCCTCAGTTTCAAGGCACTCCCCTTCTTGCCTCAGCCAGTATCGGTATCCTCGGAGTCGACATATCGAGTGACGTGCAGTTTCGTGGTCACTTGGAAGAGAAGGCCAAATTGGCCTCTAAAAAGCTTGGCGTGCTCAGCAGAGCGGGACAGTATTTCATGCCGGCACACCGCCTGCAACTTTACAAGGCGCAGGTTCGGCCTCACATGGAATACTGTTCCCATCTCTGGGCAGGGGCTCCCCAGTGCCAGCTCCTTCCACTTGACCGCATCCAGCACAGAGCGGCTCGAATCGTCGACGACCGAGCCCTTTCCGATCGGCTCGATTCATTGGCACTGCGAAGAGATGTTGCATCTCTTTGCATTTTCTTTCGCATCTACCATGGGGAGTGCTCTGAGGAATTGTTCGGATTAATCCCAGCCGCCAAATTTCATGAACGCACATCGCGGCAGAACTCCCGATACCATCCACACCATCTGGATGATTGGCGGTCCACCACTGTGCGATTTAGAAGATGTTTTCTTCCTCGCACGACTTCCTTGTGGAATCGATTACCATCAGCGATTTTTCCGGACCGATACGACTTAGGGACCTTCAAGAAAAGAGCCTACTCCTTTTTAAAAGGCCGGCAACGCATCTGCAATTCCCCTGGTGTTGCGGTTGTTCATGGGCGGCGGTAGTCACTTACCATCAGGTGAGCCGCATGCTCGTTTGCCCCCTCTCCTATAAAAAAAAAAAAAAAAAAAACAAACCAAAGAGAATATAATCACTACGTTTAAGCTGAGAACAAATTATCGGACGCGTCCGTCAGCCGCCGCTGACAGACGCAGCTTATTTGAATCTAGCCAGTACATTTAATACTACACTGTGCAAACTATCGGTAGTAAGACGCGGACGTGCCCTTGGGTCGTCCTTGAGCGTTCAGACGTCCGAACAGAATCTAGCCGGCTGGATATTCGTGCGTCCTCGGACGGTGTGCACAGGCCACGGGACGCGTCCGCGGACGTTTCGAGCGTCACAAACGAACCGACCGTGCTCGCGACATGTCAGACGAAGAAAATTTAATTGAATGTGTTCGTGGCCACATAAATGCTACTTTAAAACAGGAAGTGTGGGAGCAAATTGCTGCTGAATTAAACATCATTTTCAATCAGACTAAGCAGAAAATGAAATTGGTTTTCATTAATTCTTAAGTACATTTTGTAACGTTTATCATCTTTTTGTAAGTCTGGATACAATGTATGAAATTCATCATACTCGAGTCGTTTTACAATAATATCATAGACCCAAACACTAATATTCACTTTTTTTTTTTTTGAAAACAACATAAGGCAGCTGCTGCTAGCTCTATAAATTCATCCTCGCTGGCGCTGCTTGTCGTGTTTCTCGATTGAAACACCTTTATAGAATGACTGAAGTGAGGCGTCCGAAGACGCCGTCTTAACTACCGTGCACACCGCTAAGCCGCGACTGTCAGCCGCGGCTGACGGACGCGTCCGATAATTTGTTCTCAGCTTTAAGCCTGGCTATTCACTATATCTTTCACTGCTGGCCGGATAAGGAAGCTCAAGGTTGCTCAGCGAGCTATGGAGAGGGCTATGCTCGGAGTTTCTCTGCGTGATAAACTTAGGAATGAGGATATCCGCAGTAGAACCAGAGTGACCGATATTGCCCAAATGATTAGTAAGCTAAAGTGGCAATGAGCCGACCATATATCTCGAAGAACCGACAACCGATGGGGAAAAAACGTTCTCGAGTGGCGGCCTCGTACCGGTGGACGAAGTTTAGGGCGTCCCCCCACTAGATGGAGTGACGACCTGGTGACGACATGCAGGAAGTTGATGGCTCAGGACCGTGTTTTGTGGCATTCCTTGGGGGAGGCCTATGTTCAGCAGTGGACTTGTGATTGTGTAGGGCTATAATAATGATATCCCGAAATATAAATTATATCCCACGTTTGGCTTTTACACTGTGAGATACATCTTTTAACCAGTGTGCGTTTGTCATTGGAATACCCCTCGTACCCCGCACACGGTTCTGCGGCGGTGCGGAATGGTGTGCGGGGTAAAGGGGCGAAATATAATATGAAAATATCGCTCAGTCGCTCGAAAAAATATTTATAGATAGATGTAATATATATTATAGCTCAGTGTAAACGGTTCCCTTTAAAAGTATGGTGAGCGATATTAATTTATATCTCGAGATGTAATATATATTATATTATATCCCATAGTGAAAAGCGGGCTTAAGAGGCGAAACTTCTTAAGGTAAAGTAAATGCAAGTAAATGTATGAAAGGGCGCCAAGCTACTCTACCAACATCAAGACATGACATTTAATTTTTGACAAGCAGTGCTGACAACATAGACGAATTATAATAGTGCTGTAAATATCTATCCTCGTATAATTTTATCGATATAACGTTTAACGATATTTTGATATATTTTCATAAAAGGTCTCTATACTGAATTATGATAAATTAATTAATTTAACGTGGGGATTGAGTAAAAATTCCGATGAGCATAAGAAATCAATGTATTTTACACACAGCAATCTGTGATTATATCTCGACAATTATTAGGTACAAAAATATGTACAGTCGACTTTCGTTAATTCAAACCCGCGATAATTTGAACCTCTCAATAATTCAAAGTTATCACCAGTTCCCTACCAAGTCTCTTTATATTTCGAACTAAATCAATACATTTTTATACACTTGGTAATTCGAATGAAAATATCATTGATACGTAACAAAACGACGCGTTAATTCAAACTCATCGGCGTCAAACACTCGACAATTCAAAGTTGCAGAGAGAAAGGCACTTTTCACACAGAAGTTATTGATTGACAGTCTCAGCAGCAACAATGTGTTTTGAAGCAATCCAGTATAAGAGTTCTTTCGAAAGATTAATTAATTCACATTATGAATATGTACACGAATGTACCTCTAAAGTATTGTCGTTGTTAATGAATAGCAGTTCATCATTACAGCCCTTCACAAGTCCACTGCTGAACATAGGCCTCCCCCAAGGAATGCCACAAAGCACGGTCCTGAGCCACCTGCATCCATCGACTTCCTGCACATCTCACCAGGTCGTCACTCCATCTAGTGGGGGGACGCCCAACACTTCGCCTGCCGGTACGAGGCTGTCACTCGAGAACCTTTTTTCCCCATCGGTTGTCGGTTCTTCGAGCTATATGGCCGGCCCATTGCCACTTTAGCTTACTAATCCGTTGGGCTATGTCGGTCACTCTCGTTCTACTGCGGATATCCT